ACGCACTGAAATACGGGGCACGCTTTACAGTACGATATCGGAATGAGTTTTACTTATAAATGAATAGGAACTTACAAAAAGAAATTATATAAAATATGCAAAAAAAAAAAAATCTGCGACGTCCTAGTTAGGACAAATTCAGTACCGATCGTAAGACCCCCGTCTTCTAAACACAGTTTTGGCTAACGACGACCAGTTTCTGAAACCATAGCCAAGTCAGCATTTTTGGAACCTATTCATCCCGCAAATTGTCGTGTAGCATATAGTCGAACCCACGATGAATATTAACTGGAGGTATGCCACACAGTACAGAAAGGAATAGCAAAGCTGCTTCTGATACTTTTCGGCAATGCACTAACATAAGGTCGTCGTACCGATTTTCCGAACAATCTACGTACTTTTAGTTTTTATTCCGCAAAAACGTGGTCACTAACGAAAGCTGAAGAGCGAACACTGATAGGGACAGAGAGAGCAGTGAAATGAAGAATGTTTGGCATGTATCCCCCAGACCATATAAACAATAAGACTCTGCGTTTGATGTGCACCATGCAGGAACATCACTGTAACTATGCGACAAAGTAAAACTAGATTTGCAGGGCATGTTTTTTGTCTTACTGAAAACTGCTGGACAATGCGCATCAGTAAGCGATAACCATGAAAACTAAACGACTATTCGGACGACCCCCCCCGCAGACGGGTGACGAACATACATCGAACAGGCGCTAGTGACTTAGCTGGAGGCATACAGTCCAGAATCGAAGGGTCTGCGATCGCTGTACGGAAGTACCCTAACAACATCATTAACAGGGGATACCCACATTGGGAGCCCGGGCGGTCTTGGTATTCCTGGTATTTTGCAAAAACTAGTTTGTTGTATCAGTTCCATAATTATCTTCTTTTTGACTATCACTGAAAAAGTTACAAAAACAACAGAAATTAATGTGCTTAGAAAAGAAAGGAAGGCAGTTCCTCATTTAATTTGAAGGGACGGCAAGAATGCCTAAGCAAGAAAGGTCCGTGTAGAAACCGACTAAAAAAGAAAGCAAAATTTAACTGCGAAAATAGGAAATTTTTTGCTAAATCCAGCATAAGATGCATTAAAATTACTTGGAAAAAACTATGAAAAACGGGTAAATGGATGAAAAATGGTACGAAAAATTGTACGTAAGCAAAACTGGGACAAAAAAAGGAGCGGAGACGAAACTGCGTTTTGCATTCTCCACCAAAAATCGTGAAGTGTCACTGGTCGTCAATAAGCACAGATATGGACAACAAAAAACCAGGAATTCAGCGTTTCACGTCCAGCTACAGCACTTGTTCATTTTTCTTGCTTGTGTGTAGAATAATTTACTCTGATTTGAGAGACCTTCGCTTGCTGCCACCAAATCATCCAGCTTTTCGCCACGCTCCAACACTGATTGAATCGTGTTGTGCAATACCACTTTCGTCTCTTCCACTTCTTCCTGAATTTTTTGCCCGCGTATCAAATAAATAAACTGTGGCAATGAAAGTGCCGAAAATCCTGAGACAACTCGAACAATCGTTAAAATAAGAAATCCTGTTTTAGTAGTGTTATTGGGATGTTCCCACGTGCCGAATGCAGCTACGGCATGGATTATCGGTGTCTTTACAGTGATGAATGGAAATAACTAATAAAAAAGAACATGACGGATCCTGGTATCAGAGAATCAGAAAAGCTGGAAAGCTAAAATTTTATTGCGGTGTTCCCTGTACAAGTAAAACTTAAAGAATTCAAATTTAATCTCCAGGTATGCATGTCCTTGCGTACGGAAAATTAAAAGTTTTGGCGGAAAAACTGCTCACTGGAAAGCTACAACACTTTCAAAGAACGATCGTTAAACGGAAATTGTTCATTTCCTTTATACACAATTTACGATGATTTGCTCTAGTGAGCGCATAGGATTACGTATAAAGCAGCAATCATTCACGCGGTTAACGATCTGATTACTTCAAGTCTGAAAACGCAAGATCGCATCACGCAAGATCGCATCAGCAAGCCTGATGCGTTCCAGCTTGGGTTTTTTTGCAAGCTAACTCGGTAAGTTATCGCAACGTAAAAGATAACAGGAATTTGAGCTTTCCGAAATTTTCAACATAAAGCTTGCTTTATCGCTCAGCACACTCGATGCAGGGACGCACTAATCATCTAATTTATCCGAAGTCTCGTCCAATTCACCTGAGGATGTCCGCTGATTTTATATAAATATAAAAATTTTGTCGGAATATGCGAAAAATGCCAAGTACTCTTCAGAACGAGAACTGATCGTGCGGGCAAAGACTTTACAGTGCAACAAGTAGAGGAAGGAAAAAGTTTGCTATGCGAACCTGTACTCGAGTCATAGCGTCGGCATCACGAGGATTCTGCCATTTCGCGAGAAGCTCTGGTAATCCCGCATATGTGCAATCTTTCTCCGTTTTTATTTGTGCCTGAAACAGACAACGATCTCAGTTTGGTTTTCTCACAGTATAACAAGTTTGCATTACAAGCTCTCTCGTGGATCATGTGAAAATACAATAATTCAGGGATGCAAGAGGGAAAAGTCTCTCGTCTTTGGGAATTTTGAAGGCTTTATTAGCAACGGAGGCTTGCTTCATGAGCAAGAAAATATCAACGATAAAACTTCGTCTCAACTCGCTCGAAATTCGGACGGTTCAAACAAAATAAAGTTCAGACTGATAATATAGCATCTACACAGAACTTCTCTTGCTTTCTTCAAAGATATTCAAAAGCCTCCAAAATAATAAAAAGTATGGCGTACTTATCCAAAAAAGAAACGAAAAATCAGATCGAAATTGACTGACTGGGGTTATACACGGGGGAAATTTAAGTAAGTTATACATGAAATATGACTGGCTTCAGAACAATTTCAAAATTTAATAAAAATGTGAGCAGCAGCAACAGTTGCCAATTTGAAACATGTCTATCAGAACCATATGACCGCGATCTATTGCCTGTATGTGACTTCAAATTAATAACATGCAATTACACAATGGTACTGCTGACCAAGGCTTTCAAACCTGAGATGCAGATTGTAGCTAAAGTGAGAAATAACTGTACGAAATACAGGCAAATTAGCTGATTAAATGCCGATACAACAGATATAACTGAAAGAACCGCTTCATGTTCTTCCTCACCATCGATGCAGCTGGCAATTTTTTCATTCTCTATTTTTAGGCATCCCTTACTCCTTTTTTTTTCACAAAGTATTGGAAAATGTTGCATTGCTGCTGACAGGTTGTAGCGACAAGAGGTAAGAGGAACAGAACA